ATCCTCTATCCTCTCTTAGGTCTCCAATAGTCCTCTCTTAGGTATCCGACACGCCGAGCAATGTTGGCGGATATTATAAATTACATCATGGTATATATATATATACAAATATCTGTATAGTAAACAAAAGAGGGTCCTTTGGGGTGCAGCTGAGGTGGCGCCGCGTTCTCTTCGTGTCCGCGTGGCTGGGCAGCCGTTGCTGGAGGGAGAGCTCTGGTCCGAGGCTGTAGCTTGTCCAAACGGCTGGGTTTTGTTTCGGTGACCAACACCCAGTGACTTTGGGTTCGAAGATGGGTTCCTGGAGGCTCCATGACGCTTCAAAAATGGGTCCATGCCCCCATTATTTTGGGATCCCCTAAAATGGTCCCTTTCAAACTACCCTACAAGAAGAGTGCCCAAAACAAATAAAAAAGAAACACACACCCATATGTGCAACTCTAAAAACTCGCCTTTACATATCAAGCAGGAGTTGTGTTTTCCGAGTCGGGCAAACGGAAAATCGAATAAGCCCCGCGGCCGCCTTAAAGGGCAAGCCACAGCAAAATGGTTTGTTCTTATGGGCCCAACCACGTTCCAACCTGTTTAGGTGTTTTGTGAGAAAGCAAAAACAGTTTCGGAGGAGACACTTCATGTTTGGGGGAAGCACCCTCCAAATTCATCCAAGTAGATGATTCTGGGGTCAATGTACTGAACAATGCAGACTACAACCAGGTCTACGTGCCGCCTTGACAGGCAAGCAAAGCCTACCGATTGGAGGCTGCCTCCAACGACCCCGGTCCAGAAATCTTTCAGACCGACTCAAGTGATGGATCCCTGTCAAGCTTTTCACCCTGATTGCTTCCTGGAATGGAACCCTGAAAAAGGTTCATACTGTGGATGGAATGGCAAACTATTTGTTCGTTGGTATTTGTAGGGGAATCATCATTCCAGGGAATCTTAGATGGTGCAGGATTTCGTCCCACAGTAGCACCATGCTGGACAACATCAACGCGTGCGTCCGAGGATGTGCAAGACACTTACTTTGAGCTTGATGGGCAGGGTGAATCCCGGGTCTTGGTCGTCTACCTGGCAAAGGCCTGGGGATTGGCGGGAGGGCAGTGAAATTCACAAATTACCACCTGCAAACTATGTTGTTGGTGCCTGACTATCAGTGGGCACCTTTTTCGTTGCCTTGCTGAGTCAAGGACCCTCTGGACGCAACGGCAGAGAGACGGAAATTGGTATGGAACCCTAGCAAAGGCTCTCAAAAGGAGATTCTTGTTTTAAGCCGATCAATTTGTGGGTTAATTTGTCGAGAGTGTGGTGACCAACGACGCGAAGGTGATTTTTTGTGTTTCCATGTTGGCCCGTGTGTAGTCAAGATGTTCATGAATATTTTCATTGATCCGTCTTTCGGCTATAAGTTTTTAGTTCGGACATCTATTTTTCATGTCTTTCCAAGTTTTGGACTGTTCCTCGCTGAGGTGGTCAGCATTGTCAGCCTTGCCCCTGTTTGGGCCAGGTGTGATTGCAGACCGGACAAGTTGCACTAAGCCTTTGGTTGCCACGTGTCTTGTTTGCCGAGTGAGACGCATGTGACCTGAGTGCTGCCCAGCGCAGCGGGCTCCCCCCATACGTGTTCCCTCGAGAAATGGTGTATAGAAGCTGGTAACGTCGCAGGTTGCTTGTGCACGGTTTGCAATTTTGCAGAACTAGCGATTTGGCAGAGTCACTGAATATCGCGAAGAGTGGAAGGGGGGAATGGGCTGTTGAGGAGGGGGGGGGGGGTTTGGGGAGGAATGGCTGCGTTCATGGGATGGTTGCGTTCATGACGGATTGTGGAACATGCATGGTTGGAGATCCAGCGTTGCGGAGGCCACAGCTAAGAGTAGTTGGTTGGGGCCTGCTGCCTGCGGACCGCTAGCTCTCCATCGTATGGCTGGCAGTGGCAGTCCGAAGCAACTTTTGTCCTTGGCCACCTTGCTTCGCAGCATAGTTCTCGAAAATAGCGGTGTTGCTCCACTTCAGGGATGGAGGTGAAGGCCCGTGGACGCGCAGTGTTTTTGGGCAAACATGACCCTATTCATCTGCCAAGATGGTTCAGCTAAGATCAGCTGCAAATCTGCGTTGCTTCTGCAAAACTCCTCTGCAAAACGCCCCCCCCCTCCCCAACTGAGAAACTTGCAAGGCCCCCTACCATTCTATACCCCATTTCTCAAGTACTAGGTCAGAAGCGTATGAGTCACCTGTGCGCGAAACACACTCACCGCTCCATTTTCCAATGGGGTTTGCAAGAAACGTCTTCGTGGCCTCTGAAAAATCTAATTATTTGGCCTGAGCAACTTGCTTGACACATGAGAACACTCATTGGCATTCTACTGCGCCTTGTTCCGACGAAAGATCCACTGCGAAAGTCTTAATTTGCAAGTCGTCGATCCAGCGCTCTGCCCATGATTCCTAGCCCTTTTTCTGTCCTACAGCAAACATTTTTCACGCTTTGCCAACTTCTGTCCACGCGCAGACGTGGCAGGTTTCGCATCTTCCGGTTCGCCTCTACAACGTATTGCTGTCGGCTGTTTAATGATTGCACTTGCACCGTGGAGGTCGGGCAAGGCCGCTCAACCCCGCTAGCCGCGCTCTTTTACCTCTTCCCTCTTGCTCCGTCGCATTGCGAGGAGCACTAGGGGAAGTTGAGCCAAAACACACTTCGACCAACTTGCAATTTTACAGAGCTGTGGCTCAGGAATGATTCACAAAAAACGTACCTATGGGTTGCTCAGGGTTCGGAACTTTTAAAGTGACGTGCCCGCTCCTGCGACACCTTTTTTTGTTTCCGAAATGGGTCGCACCTGTGCTCCGAGCAGTTTTCAATCCCAACATGACACCTAATCCTTTTGGTGCCTGAAGTGCCCCTTGTTTGCGGACGCAACCACGTGGGTGTGGTCAAAATTAAACCGCCAGGGGACCACAGGTTTGGTCCACATGTTGCCACTTACCAGGTTCCATTTTGGGTACCTATTTTTGACCCACAGCCACGTCCCCCATTTTTGTTTCTTTCCTGCGGGATGCCCAGCCACAAGTCGAGCCACAAAGTTGTTCGGTCCCTCGGTCCCTGGGTCCCTCGGTGCAGGCGCGTGTGGAGACCTGGGAGGAGGTGATGCAGGCGGTGGAAGAGACCTGGCCACTTCCACTGGGCTGTTCCAAGGCTATCCTTTATGAGGGGAATCCAAAAAGCTAAAGTCTAAAGATCCAACCCAATAGTAGTAGAGGTTAGAATAAGGGTACCATTTTTTTGCTGTAGTCTATGTTAGTAGGGGAACCCTCCCAACCAAAAAAGGGCAAAAAAAAGCACTATTGGGGACCTAGACACCAATGGTTGAAGCATCCCCCCTTTGAACTTTTTCTTGGGGGATCCACCGCACCCAAGTAACCTCTCTTCTGGAGGACCTAGTGCAAACCATGGGGTGACTTCCCCATTCTTTCCAGGATCCTTCTTTCTAGAAAACCACCAAAAACCACTGGGGAGATGACTGGTTTCTGAATAGCAGCTGTCTCCCCCTACAACCATTGGGGTGTAAATCATGGACGGTTTCTGCCGGTTGTATCGCAGGTGTGCTATACCTGGGCGCCCGCCGGGCGCTACAACGAGGAGATCCGCGCCGCAGCGACATTTTTCAGCTTTCGCCACGGCACAGCAGGTTTTTAGGGTGCCTCCATTTGCTTCCGTTGTTTGTTGGTTTTAAAAGGAACCCATCACTACTGGAGGTGTTTTTGTTTATTTTTGCTGGGGCCTGAACCAAATGGAATGGTGTGAAGCCCAACCTGGACCTTCCGTTGTTACATAAATTTGTGTCACGAAAGCAAAATGCTCGCGGCAACTATTTTCGCCCAATGATCCAAAAAGTGCTCGTTCCCCAAAAAGCGCTCGTTTCATGAACACTGGTTTCTTGCAAAGTACTAATTGTTACGCGTTTTGGATTTGCGCGGGTATTTGCGCTCGTTTTGCGGGTATTTGCGCCCGTTTCGCGGGTATGTGTCCACAGTGTCCACGCAACAGACTATATGAGAAGAGAGAAACCGCCGCAAGAGCTAAAAATGCTCGAATCCAAATTTGTGCTCGTTCCCCCGAAAAACGCCCGACTAGCAAATTTCTGCTACGAAACACCCAAGGGGCACACATTTATGTAACGAATGAAGGTCCAGGAAGATACGCAAAGGACAAAAAACAAAGGAACGCTAGACACCACCCAAAGTGTGGGGATACCCTATTTTGACACAAACCTCATGTCCAAACGTTGCATAGTCGGTTTCCTTGTGAAGCGCTATCTTTTGGAGAGGTCATGGAGTCCGTTTTTCCTTGGACAGGATCTTCGGGGGGGTACAAAAGATGTCCTTTACCTTCCTCCTTTGTGCAAGTGATCAAGAGCTGCCTTTTCCTTTCAGCCTGGTTGGTTGAATCCGGCCTTCGATATCGAGATGCAGCACATTGTTTCCATGTTTTTGCTGGTGTTTTTGCATTACTCCCTGGGATTACCTCTCCCACCGGGATACTGGTGACCCATGTTGCTAAATTTACTGATATGTGTCTGGATTTGGGATACTGTCGTGTCTTTGCTTCAACGCGAACTGCAACAACTCTTGTAGCATTAGAAATGAGAGGTATAATTAGTTCACTTGTTTTCAAGTCCAGGGAAACCTTACACAGAAGTCGCCCAAGACCTGCCAGCCTTGGGCAATAAAAGGGTCGCGCGGAGTCCTTGTACGGGGCTTTCTTTTTTGGTGTAGTTACAGTACAGCAGGCTGACGCTCATCCATTGCTGGGGATTCCCTATTTGCGGTTTGTGAAGTTTAGTAACTTCCCAAGTTTTCACGTGGAGAAAGGAAGTATCCGGAAGCTTTTCGTGTCAAGACCAGAGGTTGTCTGGCCTAGCTTGGATCCATTTGGATCCCAACGGGGGCTTTGCAAGGTGGGTATTGATCTGCCCACATAGGCTCGAGAGGATTCTCCGTGCCGGTCTTTG